TAAAACAACACCTGATAATCCTCCAATAGTAAACATAAATACGAATCCTAATGAGAATAACATTGATGGTGTCATTTTAATAGATCCTCCATAACAAGTAGCTAATCAAGAGAATATTTTAATTCCAGTAGGAACTGCAATGATTAATGTAGCAGCTGTAAAATAAGCTCTTGTATCTACATCTAAACCTACTGTATACATATGATGACTTCAAACAATGAAACCTAATATACCAATAGACATCATAGCGTAAACCATACCAATATAACCGAATATAGGTTTATTCGAGTTTGCTGAAATTGTTGTACTAATTATACCAAATCCAGGCACGATTAATATATAAACCTCTGGATGTCCGAAGAATCAGAATAAGTGTTGGAATAATATAGGATCTCCACCACCTGCTACTTCAAAGAATGATGTATTAAAGTTTCTATCTGTTAATATCATAGTAATACCACCAGCTAATACAGGTAATGATAATAATAATAATATAGCTGTAATACCTACTGCTCATCCAAATAAAGTTAATTTATGTAATTTTATACCAGGTGTTCTCATATTAGCTATTGTAGTTATAAAGTTAATGGCACCTAATAAACTACTTACCCCTGATAAATGTAAAGCAAAGATAGCTAAATCTACACTTGGTCCACTATGACTTTGTAATCCTGACAATGGAGGATATAAAGTTCATCCTGTACCTACTCCACCTTCTATACAAGCTGAGAATATTAATAATAATAAACTTGGTGGTAATAATCAGAAACTAATGTTATTTAATCTAGGGAATGCCATATCTGGACCTCCTACCATTAATGGCATTAAGAAGTTACCAAATCCTCCTATTAAAGCAGGCATAACCATGAAGAAAATCATTAATATAGCGTGAGCTGTAATTATACTATTATATAATTGATTATTTGCTATAAATTGAACTCCAGGTCCACTTAATTCTAATCTTATTAACACAGAAAAGGCTGTACCTAATAATCCTGAAAATAAGGCAAATATTAAATATAAAGTTCCAATATCTTTGGCATTAGTAGAATTAAATCATCTTTCTATACCCATTGACATTTGAGATCTTAAATTGTCCTTATTCAAAATAATATATATTGAGATATTGTATAAATTAAGATAAATTTGATTTTATATACTTAAAAGTAAAATTTAATGCAATACTCTTAGAAATTTTTAATATAATATTTATATATATTGTAAATATATATGTATGCTTATTAAGCATTAAATGAATGATACTCTATAATTTTGATTATAGTAACTTATTATATAAATTTAATTTAAGATAATGGAGGAATCGAACCTCAAACTTTTAATTTGCAATTAAAGTGTAAACCTTTTACAATCATCATCTTTTTATTATAACAATTTGCTATAATAAAACAATAAGTACTATTACTTCTAAATATATTATTTACCTTTTTGTGATAAATCAATTAAAGTATTTTCTAATATACTTACAACTGGCATTATTACTAAATAATAAGCAAAGTATAAAGCTGTACTTATTTGTCCAAATTCGATAAATGGACTTTCAACATGTTTAGCACCTAATTGTAATAATAATAAGAAATTAGTTACAAATAAGTAGAATGCTATTTTACTTAAAGGTCTAAATTGTAAACCTTTAGTTATACCTAAATCTGTTTTAGGTAATACCATTAAAATAACTAATGATGCGAACATAGCTATTACACCTAATAATTTATTAGGTATAGATCTTAATATAGCATAGAATGGTAATAAATATCATTCTGGTACTATAGCAGCTGGTGTTTGCATTGGATTAGCCACTATATAATTTTCACTGTCTCCTAATACATTAGGCATGAAGAATACAAATATACTTAATCCAAACATAAATAAGAAGATCGTTATTAAATCTTTAAATAAGTAATATGGTGCAAATGGTATTCTGTCATAATATGCTGGTGTACCTAATGGGTTACTTGCTCCAGCTGTTTCATGAACAGCTATTAAATGCATAATAACTAAGGCAGCTAATACAAATGGTAATACAAAGTGTAATGCAAAGAATCTGTTTAAAGTTGCATTGTTAACTGAGAAACCACCTCAAATGAACTCTACAATATCTTGTCCTATTCATGGGATAGCACTAATTAAATTTGTAATAACAGTAGCACCTCATAAAGACATTTGTCCATATGGTAATACATATCCTAAGAATCCAATACCCATCATTAATATAAGTATAACTACACCAATGATTCAGGCTAATGTTCTTGGTGATCTATATGATCCATAGTAAAATCCTCTTCCGATATGTAAATATACTAAGAAGAAGAAAGCTGATGCTGTATTACTATGTAAGTAACGGATTAATCATCCATTATTTACATCACGCATGATGTGTTCTACAGAATTAAATGCTTCAGCTACACTAGGGTTATAGTGCATAGCTAAAGTTACTCCTGTAATTATTTGTATACCTAAACATAAACCTAATAATGAACCGAAGTTTCATAAATAATTTATATTAGTTGGTTGTGAATGATCAATTATATAAGCATTAAGCAATTTTAATAAAGGATGACTTTTTAATATTCTCATTAACTTTTGAATAAATAATTTGACTTACAGTTTCTTTTAAGCTTATAGCTGCACTGTATAATTAATTTTTTTTTTATTACTGTAATAAATACAATGAATTAATATAATATTTTATATTAATTTTTTATATAATATTTAGTTCCTAATAAAACTAATATACTTGATAATGTTATAATGTTAATTATATCATTAAATATAGATACAAAAGTAAATATAGATATATAGAAACAAATAGCTAATAAGATATATAATGCATAATCTGTAACTATACCTGTATGTAAACTTGATATTGTTTTACTTACTTTTTGTAATGATAATCCTATACCATAAGGACCTACTCATTCTATACTTCCTTTATCTAATATTTTTGTAGTTTGACCTCCAATATCTAATACAGTATTTACTATATATTTATTATAGAAGTATTCTATTAAGAAACGTTGATTAAAGAAACCAAATATATAATATCCAATATTTGATAATTTAAAGTTAGTTACACTGTTAGGCATAAATTCAGGGTAAATTATCGCTAATACTGAGAATGATATTGTAAATATAAATGGTAATAATTTAAATATAGTAGGTACAGCGAATTCTGTATCTATTAATATTTCATGCATAGGATGTATGAATATACTATTATCAATAAAGAAACCTGATCCTAAACCTATAAATATATCTTTAGTCAAGTAACCAAAATATATAGAGAATATAGCTAATATAACTAAAGGTAAACTTAAGAATATATCTCCTTCATGTGCATTTTTATAATATTGTATAGGTCCATTAGGATTAGCTATAAATGTTAAGTAAATAACTTTTACTGAATATAATGTTGTAAATATAGCACCAATAGTAGCTATAAAGTAAACACTAATACTACTGAAATGATATTGACCAAATGCAGATTCTAATATAAAATCCTTACTATAGAATCCAGTCATGAATGGGAAAGCTACTAAACTAAGACTAGCTATTAATATAACTGTATAAGTTAAAGGTAAGAATGATATTAATCCACCATATCTTCTTAAATCTTGATTATCAGCTACAGCGTGAATTACAGCACCAGCACCTAAGAATAATAATCCTTTATAGAAGGCATGATTTACTAAATGGAATATAGCTATGTTATATGAAGATAAACCAATAGCAATAACCATCATTCCTAATTGACTCATTGTAGAATAAGCTATAATTTTTTTAATATCTTGTTGGAATAAACCAATTAATGAACTAAATACTGTTGTCACAGCACCTAATCATAAACATATTAATAATACTGTAGAACTGTATTCTATTAATGGCGATGAACGTATTAATAAATAAACTCCAGCTGTAACCATAGTAGCAGCATGAATTAATGCAGAAACAGGTGTAGGACCTTCCATCGCCATAGGTAATCATATATGAAGACCTACTTGTGAACTTTTAGCCATAGCACCTATTAATAAACATATACCTATAATAGTAATTATATTTTCATTAATATATGGAGCTAATGAAAATACTATACTATAATCTAAATTACCTAAAGATCATAATATTACAAACATTCCTATAGTTAAAAAAGCATCACCTACTCTATTTGTTAAGAATGCAGATAAAGAACTTTGATTAGCAGCGATTCTAGTAAATCAGAAACTAACTAATAAATAAGAACAAACACCAACACCTTCTCATCCTACAAACATTAATAAATAATTATTACCTGTTACTAAGATAATCATCATAAAAGTAAATAAACTTAAATAACTAAAGAATCTTTGGCTATGAGGATCATGACTCATATAACCTATAGAATAAAAGTGTACTAATGAACTTATTATTAATACAGGTATTAACATTGATACTGTTAAACTATCAAATTGAAAATTTCATGCTATATTAAATGATTCACTATCTAATCATTTAAATAAATTAATTGAAACAGGATTATTGTTAAATCCTACTTCAAAGAATCCAATTATAGCAAATGTTGTAGTCATAAATATAGTAATACAACTTACTATACGACTACCTGATATACCGATTTTTCTACCAAAAAAACCAGATGCTATTGAACCTAATAATGGTAAGATTATTATACTTAAATACATTATTTATATTCTATTGCTATACTTCCTCTAAGTCTATAAAAGGCTACTAAAATAGCCAAACCTATAGCAGATTCTGCTCCAGCAATAACTATAATATATATAGCATATGTTTGTCCTATAATATCATCAAGATTTATAGAACTTATCAAAATTAAGAATGTAATAGATACTAACATTATCTCGATAGATATTAGCATTAATATTATATTTTTTCTGTTAAATACAAATCCTAAAATTCCTATTAAAAAAAGTACTAAAGTTAAACTCATTTTTTTTTATTAATTAATATTTTTATAAATTTATCCTAAGGACATAATAGATTCGAACTATTATTAAAACATCCGTAGTGTTTGGTTTTACCATTAAACTAATATCCTTTATATTTATATAAACTAATTATGTTTATATTTATATAAATACAATTATTTTTAAGGTCATTTATATTTTTCTGAACCTGTATAAGATTTCGTAAGTATATGAATCGCATCTACAAACATTTCACGAGTAAATGTATTCGGTTTTATATTACGTTTATCTTTTTTTGATAAATTTATATCTACATTATAATATAGTTGTCTATCTATATCGTCTATCAAAACATATTTGGGGGATGTAGGAAGTATGTTTCTTAACCTTGCGACATCTCTCTCCCAAACATTTGCATTTCTAAACAATGGGTCCATAAAAAAATTAAAGTTAACTTCTTTTATAGAATTTTTATCCATAATATTGATTACTTTTTTCACTTGCTGCACTGCACTTGCTCTCATACTAGGATCACTATCATGTATTTCACTTTCAAATGTATTTCTAGTATATGTACCTAAAACATCCCCTATAGGATTTTTACGAACCATTATATGTCCCTGGTAATCCCTAGAAGTATAAAAATTCGGTATTAATCCTCTATGTCCAGTACTCGGATCTTCTATGGTAAAATTAAGTTTACCATTACCGTAACCACTTAAAAGAGATGGCTTACATTGTCTTCAATACGCACCTTTGGCTTTTCTTAATATATCATGATCGTATGGTAAATCCATAGGTTTAAATAAATCTATAAAATTTTTGACTCCTGATTCAAAAAGAGTAACCAGACTAGTACTTCAATTTACGTCATCTCTTAATTGAGTATTGATATGTCAGACTTGATATTGGTGAAGACGTTCAAGATTAAATTTCCTATTTTTTAAAGGCTCATAATTTATAAATAGATCGTTATAAATAATCTTATCATGTATTTCTTGAACTTTCTTTGCCAAATCCGTTTTCAACCATGTTTCCATACCCAGACATGGTATATCAGTACTACTAGGACTTATTTTAGGTATTAAGTAAGTCTGGCCATCTCTAATAAATAATTTATTATTTCCAGTTGTTTCACTACGTTGTCATAATAAATTATCCCGGGGGTTACTACAAGGATTTTGTGAGTATGATGCCTCCAACCAGCAACCTGTTGCAAAACTATTACGTCAAAATTCCTTTTTTTCAGTAAGATTCGGAAGTATTTTTTTGATTTCTATTTCTTTGCTATCTAATTCAAGCAAATGACCTCAATTAAGTTCTGATAGATGGTTAACTGAATATTCAGTTAAATCAGTACGATTAATTAGACGATTCTCATTATAAAATACCGCGTTAGGTGCTGGGGGAGTTACATAACAGACAGACTTTGCATTAATATCGCCACCTATTACTAATTGACGAGGGATAAATATCATAAGATAATACTCTAAAAAAAACTCTCCTGTCAATATAAAATATATTATACATAGTATTGTTCAAATAAAATAAAGACTATATTCTATATACATTACCAAACCTATATACAATATACCAAGGTATAATATTATCAAAATACAACATGAACTTGTCAAAATAAAAGACAGGTTTAAGTTGCTAATTATTCCAAAGATATCTAATAAACTTGGATTTAATTTAATTATTCCTACTATTGGAATAATCAAAGGCGTAATTAATAATACTTTAATTGATCAAGTAGATCAACAAGTATTTATTAAGTAACGATAAATTCGTTTCATTATATTTATAATATCCTTATGTATTTCTTGCAACGTAAGAATCTTGAAATATAAAGCTACACGAATATTTAGTATAATATCCCTATTTATTTTATTGTATGATCAAATTATTAAAAATAAAATAAGTAAAAACGCACCTATTCTAGTTAATAATATACCATTATTAATCATAAAATGGATAAAGGGAGTTAATCCATTGCTAATTTTATCAGCAATAAATTCTCAATCTAAAGAATTATAAAAATCTTTTATAAAACTATTAATAGTAATAACCATATTACTAGTAAAATCTATTATAAAATTAAATTTATTCATCATCATTGTAATTATATTTTTATTTATTAATAAGTTAGTATCCATATTATTTAAATTAAGCGTTGTATAATCAATTAAGAAAGCTGGGTAAGTCTGTAGACTGGAAAACAAGGGGCATAGAGCTATGTAATATTCCACATATTTCAGAACATTGTCCATAAAATACTCCTGTTCTGTTAACAAAGATAGATATTTGATTTAATCTACCTGGATATGCATCACATTTTATACCTAAAGCTGGACAAGCTAATGAATGTATAACATCACCACTTGTAGCTACTAATCTTGTATGAGTTAATTCAGGTAACATAACTCTGTTATCTACCTCTAACATTCTTAATCCTCCATCTTCTAAATCTGATTCAGGTACGATATAAGAATCGAATTCGATAAATTCACCGTCTTCGTTAATAAAGTCAGGATATTGATAACTTCAATATCATTGGTGTCCTTCTGCAATAATAGTTAATGAAGGGTCATTAACTTCATCCATTAAATATAATAATTTAAATGAAGGGAAAGCAATTAATATTAAAACTAATGCAGGTGAAATAGTTCATATTAATTCTATTAATGTACCATGATTTAAATATTTATGTGATATAGGTGAATTTTTAAAAGCAAAATTTTTCGCGATTGAAAATAATACTCATCCTACAGCAAATAATATTAAAACTAAGTAATACATAATATTATCATGTAATTCTATTAATCCTTCCATTTGCGGAGTAGCACTATCTTGGAAATAAATACCTCACGCTTCCGGAGCATCAAAGCTAATAATTGAATTTATTATATTTGCCATAATTTATTAAGTATTCATTTGTGAACAACAAAGTATAAATAAGCCCGCCCGCCATCCCTGATAGTTAATAAACTAACGCAATTATGTTAATTAATATAATTAAGCAACATATAATAATAATAATGCCATCATTAATGCAAATAAGGCTGTAGCTTCTGAGAAAGCAAATCCTAAGATTGAATATGAGAATAATTGGTTTTTTAATGAAGGGTTTCTAGCAACACCTAATATTAAGCAACCGAAAACTACTCCGATTCCTACTCCTGCTCCTGCTAATCCTACAGTAGCTAATCCTGCTCCTATTATTTTTGAAGATTGTAACATATTTATATTTATATAATAATAAAATAATCATAATTTATTTATTAGCTTTATAAGCCCATTATTTTAGAAGAAAAATTTCATAAAATATATAGTATAAAATTATTATTGTATTATATAAAACTTATTCATAATATATATATATTATTAAGAAAGCTAATCTTAATTTATTTGTTTTCAAAAAATGTATTAATAAAATTTTTCGTTGATTGTACATTGAAATAATTATATGATTGTCTACTATCTATTTTTAAGGCTCCTTTACCTAATTCAAATACAAAACCGGCTGTGATTATACCTATAAATAATAATACAATTATTAAACCATATACACCATTTTCATAACTACTTAATCCATAAGGATATATTACTAATATTTCTAAATCTAATAATAAATAAACTAATGCAAAAATAAAGAATTTTACACCAAATTGTGTTCTATTTTGACCTAAAAAACTATGAAATCCACATTCAAATATACTATATTTTTCTTGATAAGGATTATGAGGTGCTAATATAAAATTTAAAGCTAAAAATAATATAGCAATTATACAAACGAAAATAAAAAGAAATGTTGTACCACTCATTAACTATTGAATATTAATTGTACCAATATGGTACTCATGCTAAGTCATTCTTTGTTCATAAATAAGAACAATAATATAGTTAAAGTAAGGATAGATATAACAAATGCTATAGGGCTAGATAAAACTATATTTTTATAGTTATATTCTACACTTTTTATATTAGTATTGTTATTATATACATTACCTTTTAATTTAAAGTTTTCTAATAAAGTATTAACTTTATAATCTGATTTACTAAAGAACATTTCTTTAATAATAGTTAAATAATATATTCCTCCTATAACACTAGTTAATATAGCAATTAATGTTATGAAATATAAACCTTTATCTAAAGCAGCACTTAATACCATCTGTTTAGCAAAGAATCCTAATAAAGGAGGTATTCCTGCAAATGAAAAGATAGTAACAGTTAAACTTAAAGCTAAAACAGGATTTATAAAGAAATAACCTTTTAATTGTGTTATTAATTGGATAGGTGAGTTTGTTTTATCTAATAATTCCTCATGTTCTTTATTATCACTAGTATAGCAATATAATGAATATCCTATAGCTAATAATATAATAAATGCATTTAAATTACTTATTATATATTGAGTTAAATAGAATATAAGTGCTTGTGTAGATTCAATACTAGAAATACTTAAAGCTAATAACATAAATCCAACATGTGAAATTGTACTATAAGCTAATAATCTTTTAATTCTAAATTGAGTTAAACCTACAACAGTACCTATAACTAATGAGAATAATGAACTAATTAATAATATAAATGTTCAATTATTCATAGTAATATCAGCATTAGTATAATATACTAATTGTAATAATAATATAAATATAGATACTTTTGCTATTAATGCTACAAAAGTAGTAACAATAGTAGGTATAGCATCATAAACATCTGGTGATCAGAAATGGAATGGTGCTGCACTTATTTTAAATAAAAAACCTACAGTGAATATAACTAAAGATAAACTTATATAATTAGGTGAATATCATAAATCACTAGTAGAATTATGTATATCACTAATACTTGTAATAATGTATAAACTATCTAAACTAGTACTACCGCTATTCGCATATAATAAACCAGTACCTAATAATATAAAACAAGAACTTAATCCTCCTAATAAGAAATAAATTAATCCACCAGTAGTAGATAATTCAGAGTTTCTATAAATAGTACTTAAAATATATAAACCATAACTTTGTAATTCAATAGATAAGAATATAGTAATCAAATCATTACTAGACATTAAGAATATAGCACCACTAACAATAAATAGTAAAATTAAAGGATATTCTATAATTTTATTATGTTCTCCCATTTTATTGATAATTTTAGTATTATAATATATAAATTTATTAAATAAAAGATCTTTCATTGAAGAATATTCAGATACTCAAACTTTTCTAGGGTAAAAACTAGTTAAAGTTAAAATAAAAATAGTAACAATAAAAACAAAAATATGAAATATTTGTGTAAGATTGTTAATTAATAATAAACCTCCATGTAGTCCTATTCCTTTAGTTACTACAGTTAAAGAAGTATAATCATGTACTATACAATATAGTAAAATAAGTATGGCTATTCTATTATATAGAATAGATACATCACGTCTTAAATTCACGGCATTTGAAAGTAAAAGAGATAAAATAGAAAGAATTATCATAATACTTAGCCGGAGAAGAGAATCGAACTCTTATTACCAATGTATGAGATCAGTGTTCTAACCGTTGAACTACTCAGGCTGTGCTTTCGCAAAAGGGTGGAAACCCTGGTTCGAACAGGGAACTTGCTATGCCACAAATAGCTGCTCTACCGATTGAACTATGACCACCTATTCTCCACCATGATCATTGCGCTTATAAGCTAGTGGAGGGTTTATCTCGAGGTGATTCGAACACCTACTATTGAATACCAAAAATTCATGATTTACCTATTAATCTACGAGATATGGTATAAATAATAGGAATCGAACCTATACGAATATAAATCCAATGGCTCCTAAAACCACCCCGTCTACCAATTCCGGCATATTTATGTATAAAGTAGGATTTGTAGGAATCGAACCTACATTTTGATGATTAAAAGTCATATGCATTCACCGTTATACTAAAATCCCTAGTATTGCTCGTGATAAGATTCGAACTTACAACCTAAATAGCTTCAATATTTCGCTCAACCAATTGAGCTTCACAAGCTTGGAGAAACTAGGAATCGAACCTAGGCTTTTAACGTGCAAAGTTAACATTCTACCAATTGAATTATATCCCCTACTATCCAAGAAAGGACTTGAACCTTCAAGACCGAAGTCTACAAAGCTTAAGTTTGTTGTGTTTACCAATTTCACCACTTGGACATATAGGGCTAAAGTGAGTTGAACACTTATAAGTACTGTTATGAGCAGTATGCTTTACCGATTAAGCTATAGCCCCTTGTACTACTATATATTCTAAACTTTAATACGCGGACAAAGGATTTGCACCAATATTTTTCGATCATGAGCCGAACGTGTTTCTATTACACTAACCCGCTATAGACTAGACAGGGATCGAACCTGCGATGGTAGCATTGAAAGAGCTATGTCTTACCACTTGACTACTAATCCTCATGAGCCCAATGCAAGTACCGCCCTTGCTTCTATTGATTACAAAACAATTGCATTACTTTTATGCTAATCAGGCTATTAATAAAAATGATATATATATCCATAGTAACTTATAAAATTAGTACTTTCATCTTGCAAATCTCTAGATTCTTACAAAGAAAGCCTATTGTGTATTATTCTAATACATATATTTAAGAAATATCTTAAGATAAGCTTCGTGCCTATATGCTTTCAGCACTTATCCTTAACCAACTTAGCTTCCCTGCCGTGCCTATATAATATATTATCCTAGTGAACGATACATCCTTTGTATATAAAAATATACATCTATATAGCCAATTAACATTAATAACATTAACGGATATCTATATAGTTAATAACAGGGCATATAAACAACAGGTAAACCATAGGTTAGTAACTATAATTAAAAAAAATCATTCTTGTTCCTTTCGTACAAAAGTTCGTTCTTATTTTATTCTAATTCCCTCTAGAAGATAGAAACCATACTGTCTCACGACGTATTTAACCCAGCTCATGTAACTTTTTAATCGACGAACAGTCGCACCCTACATAGTTTCTGCATCCATGAGGATAAGTTAAGCCGACATCGAGGTGCCAAACCGCGCACTCATTTTGTACACTCTTGCGCAAATTAGCCTGTTCTATTTGTTATCATAAATTATTTCCAATTTTTTCAAAATGGTTCAGACTATGTCTTCATTTTATATGTATATATTGATGAGCAATAGCTCAAATTATTTACCTGATACTCAACCTCTAATAGCAAATGAACCTATACGACGTGTACTATTAGCTATAGAATATGAGATATTAGGATTTACATTTCCTCTAAATAAAGTTGAATTTAAAGATGTTTTTTGTAATCCACCTTTTCATTTTCTATAATGAACAGATCTATCGGCTCTATAACGTTTAGTTAATCTACCTTTAGTTTCTATTCTTATACCTTCAATATTTTTATATTGAATTGAATTAAATACTTCTTTATGTATCCCATTAACAGTATTTACACTATTAATTTGACTAATAAATTTATCTAAATCTTGGTTATTATTTACATAAGATAAAATTTTACCATCTTTATATTCATTTAATATAAATTCATCACTTATATTAATATTTTCTTTAAAATACGGGAAATTCACTCTACCTAATATACTTAATATATTTTTTTTATAATTGAATGATTTACTTTTTTGGAATTTTAAAGTTAAAGCTTCAGTAAATATATCACTATTAAATACTATAGATTTAAGATTAATTATATTATATTCAACTTGTTTACCTAGAATTTTATTTAATAATAAACTTAATTTATTTAATAAAGTTAATTTGTTAAATTTTAATTGATTTAATGAATATAATAATTCATATTTTCTTAAGAATATTAAATGTCTTTTCATAAAACTTTGAATTATTCTAGTTCATACTTTTTTTAAGTATAAATTTTTTAATGTTATAAATTTATTTAAATATTTGAATTTATGTTGTATAAATTTATTTTTATTTCTTAATAAGAAATAACTTGTATTTTTATTGTTTTTTAATAAAACATTATATAAATTCATTATATTATGTTGATACAAAAATAAATAACGTTCCATTAAAAATCTTTGTATTTTTTTATTTGTTTTAATATATTTTTTTAATAAGTAATTTTTTTCTCTATTTAATGTAAATAAAGTAATAATTGCCTTATTATTTGTATATTTTATATCAGGATTACTTACATAAATTTTTCTTAGAAGACTACGTCTTCTTTTCATTGTAATATGTTTACCTGGATATATAAAATTTTTTTTTTGATTACTTTTCTTTAAAGAAAAGTATAAATTAAAATAACTTTGTATTATCTTATTAATATTAAGATGATGACTCGGTATATTTTTAATAGTATTTTTATTATAAGAATAAATTGTATCTTTTCATTCTTTCGAGAATGAAGGTAAATACTTTGTTTTTCTTATATCAGCTATTTTATTATTTAAAGTAATTTTTTGAGGTACTTTACTTAATATAATATTTTTTAATATTGTATTTTTTTTCATAATAATTTTTTTTTTTCCTTTTTTATAATAATTCAATATAACAATAAAATGTTGGGTAGTTATAAAGGATTATTGTGTTGTAGTTTTATTTAAACTATGCATAACACTCACCAAATAGTCGTTGAACGTTTTTATCTTATATTATGCTAAGACAAATTTCGCTTCAAGTTTACTATATTTAGTAATTCTTGAAATTTACCCAATTTATAATAATTCTTTTTGTGTCTAAACACTAAAAGATTATGGGACAAACATCCCTAGCGTAGCTTTTCCAATAATCCAAGATCTTTCCTTATTGCATCTTGTGATCCTATGCCCTGCTTACGCAACTGTAAGATTTGTTGATAATCAAACAGTAAGGCAAGATTAAGCCGTTGAGCTTTTTAGATATTGAAAACATAATTATTCGAATCTAAATTCAAATAACTATAAAATTTTAGTAACTTATCGTCAACATAAAATTTTAAATTATCTCTAATTTCAGTATAGTCAAAATCTTACCTAAATTTTCAATATAAATATAATTGTATAACAAGTTATACCCTATAATTATATCAAAGTGAATACGATTTATATAAAAATAGCAAACAAAATAAAAATAATTATTAGACACACCTGTTTACTCTTTACAGGGTCTGTGCCCCACATAAACTGTCCCCTAGTAATGATTCCTCTCCAAGGGTACCTATTTCTTAGTAAACTAAAAATCTAGGTTGAACTAGGATGATACACCCATAAGTATATCAATTCATTCATACGAAGAAATAAAATAAAGGTTTCTCATAGGTATTTAATCAATTTCCTTTTAGTCTGAAAATTGTTCTTCATAATCTATTATTAGTGACAGTAAAGCTGCATAGGGTCTTCTCGTCTAACTAGAGGTAAGCTGTATCTGCACAGCTATTCCAATTTCACTGAGTCAATCATAGAGACAGCTGTTGTATCGTTACACCATTCATGCAAGACCGCATTTAACGGCCAAGGCATTTCGCTACCTTAGGACCCTCACGTTAAGGCCGCCTTTAACCGGGGCTTCCGTCGACATCAAATAGTAATATATTCAATTATCTCTGTTAGCCAGCCGGCACTGGGCAGATATCACACTTTATACATAGATTGTTAATCTTAGGCAAAGTGCTGTGTTTTAATTAAACAGTCGTACAACATTATTTTATGTTTCTTCCTCTTTACTTGATATTAATCAAGAATAATGAGCCCTACTTATCCCGAAGTTACGATAGTCAATTTGCCGAGTTCCTTTATGATTGTTATCTCAATTACGCCTTCGTATACTCTACTAGCTTACCATGGTCGGATTCTAGGTACGGTTAATATATTATAATTTTTCCTGTACATTTCTCACTAGATAAATGTCGTTTTATAATAAAGATTTACTCATCGCTTATATCTTTCGACTTAAAGCTTAGAGGCCGTTACTTAATTATATCCATAAGCTTTAGGCGGATAGAAAAATTTTCCTATTCTTTTCGTTACTCATGTCACCATTCTCACTTGAATTCACATAATAAATTTACAAACTTATTATTTAGTTTAATTCAACGTTCTGCTACCCCATAAATATTATTGATTCAATAATTATCTATGGACAAGGTTTCGGTATATTGTTTAGATCCGTTATATTTTCGATGCTTTTATAACTTAACAAGCGCTCTGTTACGAGGTCATAAAATTATGGCTGCTTCTAAGCCTATCTCCTTGTCGACTTTAATAAAAACCTTCTTACTTTCACTTAACAAATAATTTAGGAACCTTAACTCTTGTTCTGGGCTGTTTCCCTTTTGACATACAACCTTATCATTCTATGTCTGATCATTCAAGATATATCTTTGCCATTCCGAGTCTACATACTCACTGATAAAATCTTCACGATTCCCCAATTTGCGCAATAAATTATTGCCTGAGATTAAATTCTGTACCTGCTAAGATATTTACTTAAATTGCCTACTGTTATAGGTTTCGCAGAAAACCAGCTATCCTAGTCAGTATTGTCTTTCACTATACCTACCACGATTCTTCGGAGATTTTTGCTACAATCACCCGTTCGGACCTTTATAGTCCTGATCATGGTAAAATCACCAGGCTTCGGGTCTAACTTTAGACACTTATCGTTATTTTAACGTTTGGTTTAACTACGAAATTTTCTCGCATCTAATGTTAACTTGGTGACCCATTATGCAAAAGGTACGTTCTTTAGCTTGTGCTAAGTTATTAGAACTGCTTATAAAATTACTATTTACTTCTTGGCCTCACGGCTCAATTTCTATCGCTTATATATCATATTTAGTCTTTGAGGAAGGTTCCCCATTCAAACAGTTTATAAACCATTTTACTTACTAGACTTATCTACTTTCGCTCACGCTATTCATAGAATCTCTTTTGATTTCTTTTCCTAAAGTTACTGAGATATTTCACTTCACTTCGTTTACTATTAAATTTTTTCTAGAGCTCTTATTAATTAGGGATATCTTTTTATTCCTTTATATATGATTACTCCTTAATATATAGCTAGAATTACATAATAATTCCTTTATATACTTATATTGTTAACTGATTACAATCAACAAATAAGTATAATTTATATATCTTATTTTTATTATTTTTTTATTTATTCATTATAATTTATTCATTATAATTTATTTATTATTTTTAATCATAATACATTCATTATGATTTATTTATTTCTAAATGTTCTAATATTCGGATTATTATGAATCGAACATAACTGATCTCCGTCCCAAACGAAGTGCCTGACCGCCCGGCCCTAATCCGTATAAATAAACAAGAGTACTTGGATTTGAACCAAGAACCTGAAGGTTGAAGCTTCGTATTTTGCCAATTAAACTATACTCTTTCAGAGAATATCCGATTCGAACGGATGCAGGTTTATCACCTAATAAAACTCAAACTTATCGCCTTAAACCACTCGGCCAATTCTCTAATTTATATACTAATTATTATTATAATTCCTCCGCGAATTGAACGCAGAACTTATTATTATCAATAACACGCTTTACCGATTAAGCTAAGGAATCTATAAGGAATGCAGGACTTGAACCTACAACTTTTTGTGTGTAAAACAAATGCTCTACCATTGAACTAATTCCTCTATTATTTATTTACTTAATAGAAATAAATAATTTTTTTTTAATTGTTTTCTTGTTTTATTGTTATTACAATAGCACCTACCATTGCTAATAATAATATTATACTTGATAAGAATAATCACATATTATATGATGTATATAATATATTTCCTATTGTTGATATATGACTTGTTTCTGTCATTGTACCATCTCAATTATTACTTGTTACAAACATTATGTTACTTGTATCTATATTTTTTACACTTGGTAATATATTGTTATAGTTATAAGATCCTAATAATCAGTTATTTGTATTTATTGACAATGTATATGGTAATAATTGGAATAAACTATAATTTCATAATATACCTATAAATAAAGCTAAAGGTATACTATTTACATTATTACTTTGTAATTCACTTGTTCTTATATTAATAAGCATTAATATGAATAAAAATAAAATAGATACTGCCCCTATATATACTATTAAATAAGAAAAACCTATAAAAGTTAATCCTGATAATATTAAATATACTGAAATTGAAGCAAATAATCCAATTAAGAATAATAAAGAACCAATAGGGTTTTTATTTACAATTACTGTTATACCAAATAATACTGCTATAACACTCAATATGTCTAAAAATTCTACAGTATAACCTGAAAAATAATATTCATTTATGGATCAAAACATTGTTAATTTAGTTTTAAAGATATAATATAATATTATAATATTAAATGTACGGGTAGTCAGAATCGAACTGACACATTTCGGGTGGAAATCGAGGAGTCTACCATTAACCTATACCCGCTATCTTAATATTATGATATTAAGATAATATATATATATTATTATTAAAAATTAAGATCCTCAATAATACATTGATACATATAAGAATAATCAAACTACGTCAACAAAATGTCAGTATAATATACCTCCTTCATAACCTAAGTGATGATGGTCTGTCAAGTGATATGATATAATTCTTCATAAACCTACTGCTAAGAATATTGTTCCTATTATAACATGTAATCCATGGAAACCTGTACCAAAGAAGAAACATGTACCAAATACACCGTCACTAATAGTGAATGATGATACTGAATACTCTATACCTTGGAATACAGTAAATATTGCTGCTAATAAAACAGTAAATATTGTTCCATATATAGCTCCTTTTCTTTCACCTTTAATTAAAGAATGGTGAGCATATGTTATAGTAGCACCACTACTTAATAAGATAACTGTATTTAATAATGGTAATTCAAATGGGTTTATAGGTTCTATTCCCATAGGTGGTCATTGAGCTCCTAATTCTACTGTAGGTGTTAATGCACTATGGAAGAATGCTCAGAATATAGCTGCGAAGAATAAAGCTTCAGATACTATAAATAATATAACACCTAAGTTTAATCCTTTTTGTACTGCTAATGTATGGTTACCTAAATATGTACCTTCTGCTATAATATCTCTAAATCATAATGTCATTGATGAGATAACTGTAGCTAAAGCTATATAAAATACTATATAACTGTTATTAAATAAATGCATTGATAATGCTCCATTTACAGTTAAAGTAAATAAAGATATACTTGTATATAAAGGTCAAGGACTAGGTGATACTAAATGGAAAGGATGATCCTGAAAATGGCTTCTTGTTGAATTTGTCATTTTTGATTTAATTTCATTTTTCTAATTAAAGTTTTGAATTACGTAATAATACGTATTGATATGAATAGATTCATATTTCTAGTTGGCCTCTATAATGATTTGAACATTTATAATATTCTAAATATTATTTACTCCCTTTTGAGCTATAGAGATTTAGCCCCTAAAATGAATCGAACATTTATCATAATATTAACAGTATTATGCTCTACCGTTGAGCTATAGAGACTTCTACGGAAAAAAGGTGAATCGAACACCTAAATGTAAAAACATAACACGTAGCAAGTGTCTTACCCTACCAATGGAAACTTTTCCTTGTTTACATATTTACGACCTAGATCAGCATCGAACCGACATCTATTTCCGTGACAAGGAAATCCTTTACCAATTAAGTTACTAGATCTATTAGGAGACGAGGGATTCGAACCCTCAAAACAATTAATGTACTAAATTTACAGTTTAGCCCTTCTTGCCAATAAAGGAACTCTC